TGGATGTTTGCGGGAGGCTGCAACCCTTGGAAATGAGCAGTGAACTCTAATGAAATAGCTAAGAGATGTTGTCTGTGAATTGCACTCCCCTAAAATAAGTCAGACATGGTCTAGATATGGGACTGGTGGCTGACTCAATGTTGCTTCAAAGAGTGCGACACCATGCTGGCTTATTAGAAATGTGCTGTGCCAATCTTGGTTCTCAATGGCACGTGGTTTCCACTTTCCTTTTATAAATATAGATTAATCTCACACACAAAGGGTTAGTTAGGTTTGATGTTTGCAAAAAAAAAAATTAAAGAATAGCCTCTCTTCATAAAGTAATGCTTTGGAGGAAAATACATAAAGCAAAGTGAAGGGAAGAAGTGTGGAATGTTTGGGAAAGCCGAAAGAGCAGCTTTTGGAAATGGGAGGAACTGTTGGATACTAAGCAAGCATGTGACTGTCCACTAACAAGGGACAAGCTTGGCCTAATGCCCTCTCATGAGACAGCATGTGACAGATCTGAGTACTTGGCTTTGGCATTGAAAATGGTAGAAAAATCAACACGAAAGTTGGCATATTCTTCTCATGTACAAGTTGGGAAAACGTAACTCAAGAACAGAAAGGTGTGTTGCCATTTTTGAAAGTTAATCTTTAAGCACAAACTGGAAGAGAATGTAGTGGTCAAAGGCAGGACAATCTGAACAAAAATGAAATGAATAACCCGGTGATAGTTAACGTGTGAAGTCTACACCCCTGAGTTTGAGTGGAATACACTGAAAGCAAGAAGACACAAGTTTCTCGGTAGAAAATGTCTCAAAGGAGGTGGAACACCCCCTTGCAACATTTTAGGTAACTCCCTACCAAGGCCATACAACGGGGAATGGGGACAGAAGTGACTTCCTGGTGAAGGAACAGGGCACAGACTCTGCTGTCATGACCAACAGCAGAGCTACAGTAAGTCCTCCTAGTAGCAGGTATGATATGGTGTGTGTAATACGATAAGAATACACTCCCTCTTGTGATTCCCTACTCATGACCCCAGTCCAATCATGAGAAAAACATGACCCCAAAATCAACAGGTAAAGGCATCACACACAATTTGGCCAGGGCTTCTCAAAGCTCTCAGGGTCACCCAGAACAAGGAACTGTTACAGATTCAGAAGACCCAATGACGAGATGTAATATGTTCTCCTGGGACAGAAAAAGGATATTAGGTAAAAGCTAAAGAAACCTGACTATGGTATGGACTTGAGATAGTAATAATACGTGTATATAGGTTGAAACAGATGACAGAATAATGTAAGACATACCCCAAGATGGATGTGAATTGTGTAAGAAGACATTCTGCTATCTTCAACTGTTTTGTGAAACAAACACAGACATTGACAAAGTGACCTTTTCCAAAGCAATCCTTGTTGTCGTGTGTTAGTGCTACACCTTAATGGAATTCTTTTTTCCAAACTCTTGGCTGATTGATATGACTTTAAATTAGATAGAGGGGCAATGCCTCTCCCAGTTGGAGCCATGACTGGCATGGCTCCTCACAGACTCAGTCTTCTGTTGGGTGGAAAATATTTATCATAGATTGTAAGGACTGTAGTGATTATTTATGGAGAAGAGTACTCCAAGTGGAGGTCACGAGGAGCCAGTTTAACATTTATTCAAGGACTATATGATTTTCAGTGCATCACTTCTAAATAATATCCAAATATTCCCTCCATCGCAGGGCTGACACAATGGCTACTCCACAAAATCGAGTTCTTGGAGCCTGCCTCATAATGGAATTGTATTTTCTTGCATTAGGAAACACTGTGCTCCAAAAGAAAGTAAAATATATTTCTACTGAAATGAAAACTGACCTCTTTATTCAGAATCAACAGCCCACATAAAGTGAAAAAATTATCATGGATATTGTGAAATGAGCTGAGATAATCTGAGGAGTCATTCTTTCATAATTATCTATAGAATGTTGTGGTTGTGAAACTTTCAGAATCTTACAGATCCTCGTGTATGCCAAACCTCTATAGAATAAGAAACCAGGGCTCCTCATCTCCTCCATTATTTTCTGTCTGTTCATTGTCGACCAAAGATACTGTCCCTTAGTATTCAGCTACAAATTTGGAAATGTTTTTCGCCTGTCCAAATTTATGAAACACATGGTCTGGGCTTCATCATCAAAAATTCTTGTGTGATCCCTGGGTCTTTGATAAACCAGTGAGTCCTCTGAGTTCCTGTCATCTGCAAACACTCTGGCTGTTTTACAAAATGAAATCCCAGGAGTTGAATGTTCACCAAATTTATGACTGTGCGGCTGACCAGTGACATCTGAGACTGTCACACCATGACTCGTGATGGATATGTCACTTTCCTCTCTAAAATGATGGCTGTCACAATTCAGTTACGAGCAGTATAACCTCGCATTTCCTTTTAACCCAGTAAATAGTTCCTGTCTTATTCTTTGAAGGAACATTTTAGTTATTTTGAAGGGACCAAGAGTGAGTGAGTGAGTGAGTGAGTGAGTGAGTGAGTGAGTGAGTGAGTGAGTGGGTGGGTGCCTTGTACAATTATTGTGCATTGTATCTGTCCTGGAGATAAAATAATATCCTCAAAGATTCTGCTTCTGTCTCTTAAACACTTGCAACAATTATAGTTCTTAACTAGAACACACTTGAATTTTCCCATGTTTGATCATTGAAAAGGCAAAATTTAATTCCATCGAGTGCAATCAAAGAATTTTTCACAGTAGCAATTAAAAACATGAAACTAGAATTTGAATGACATAAAATCAAACAGCTGCTAAGTTGTATTTTTAATCTTCATTCAAATCAAATGGCAAATAAATTTTTCATTAGGAATTTTACTTTTCTTCTTTAACATCAGTGGGTTGAAAAATGGTCTGAGTAATTTAAAAGGCTCCTTAAACCGACTGGTATATTTTGAAATGGATTAAAGGCTTATTTCAAAGTGAATCGCTTTTGTATTTCTGTAGGACACAGAAGGCAGGCAGAGCTCTTTGGAGGAGGACTGACTGGTTAGCTTACTTTGGCATGAGGGGACTTCCAACCTGCCCAAGCTGTTGAAGTAAGGAAACCAAACCCTGTTCTGCTGGGTTTGCTGTCCTCACCGGTCTCCATGTGTGGCAGCTACAATCAGAGAACGGGAAAACCACACATGAAGCAAGGGTCTTTCTGCTCACTTCTTCCCATCTCCACGCTCTATGAGAAGGGCTATTTGGTTCTCTTTTTCCGTTTCCATGTGTTTGTGTAGTGTGTATCCATGTTTGCCTGTGGGCACACGATTGTGTAGACAGCAGTACACGTGGGTTCATGTGGAGGCCCGACGTTGATGGCCAGAATCATCTTCGATCGCTCATCCACCACATTCATTGAGGGAGGTTTTCACCCAAACCCAGAGCTCACAGCCCTGCCAGCCAGCTTGCTCTGGGGATCTCTTTTCTTTGTCTTGCCTTCCCATCTACCATTTGTGTGGGTTCTAGAGATCCAAACCCCGGTCCTTGTGTTGTGAGGGAAGCCCCTTAACTGTTGAGCCATTTCCCTAGTGAGTGGGCATTTTGAAGTATGCCGACATCCTCATGCATTTATGAAAAAGAAAGCAAGCTGAAGCATAGGGTGGCTGTATTAGCCAAATGCTATGTCTGTCGCTACACACACACACACACACACACACACACACACACACACACACACACATTCATTGTTCCCCCTTGACCTTTAGGCATAGAAGTAGAGGGAAATTAGTTCCAAGGCATCAGAGCTCTGGATTTTAAAAAGTATTCAAACACGTTTTAAAATGAGAATGATCCCAGTCTTTATCCCGTGATTCTAAAGCCTCTTTACTTCCTGGTGTTTCTTTCTTTTCTCTAAAAATAGGATTACATTTTCTGGCCTTGAGTTCTAAAGACTTTGGCTTTAGGATACTGTTTCTTTTCACAAAACTTGTCTCCTGACTCTTTGCTCAACAGGTTCTTCTGACACATTAAAAAAATCAGCCTTTTGACCTGAGTTTTAATTTTTAAGGAGCATCTTATCTTTTACCTTTTTCTTGTTGGAAGTGAAGGTCTGTTAGAGGCTTCCATCTTGTGCCAGGTGGAATTCCTATAAAGTGATTTAAATGGCAAGTCAGCCTAGGGCCAGAGACCTCAGTCCACCACTTATATCCTACTGAATAATAGGGGAATTGTTTTGACTGGTAAAACATATTTTCTCAGGGTTGAGTAGGACAAAAGCTGTGACTTATTCTTTCTGCAAACCAAATAACGGTAGTTTATCAAGACATAGGAAAGTCGCTGATAATATTTTTTTTAGAAAATTAAAATATCAAAACACCAGAGAACCACCCTTTAACAGCCTTGCCTATCATCCCTGTTCATGAAGGAAATACAATGTTGGACAAAAACAGGTGACAAGACCTTATATTTCACTGACCTTCCCACTCATGCCTCAGGTGTGTCTTCTGAAGCCTAGTGGACCAGAGTAAGCCATGCTCTATCAACAGTGACGTAGTACCCACATGTGAAGTATGATTGTTATTACTAAGTTATAGGTTGTGTTACATGAAGGAAGATGGTCATAAAGAATCGTTCTTGTGGGATAGCTACATTTTAGAGCTTATGTGCAAAAGTTCCCTACACAGACCAACGGTCCATTTTACAGGAAGCAGATTAAACTCTCCCAAAATAACTGTCAACGTTCTTTTAATTGTTCCTAGCAAGTTACACATATTTAGAGGTTGTATGTCTTCTTTATACAAATGGCACTCAAATGAAGGGGAATTAAAATAGAGAACCGTGTAACAACACATGTTTAAAAATTAGGCCATGTAACAGTTACTTATGGGAAGTTTGTGTTGGGATGCCAGGCATCCACAAATGGCACCAAGGCACAGGGACAATTTTGTGTGTTCTTTACATTGTTTCCAAAGGACAATAGGAGAAGGCATTGCTTTTCATGGTGGAGCCTGTAATGAGAACAGCTTTGATCTCATGTCACCTGTTATAAGACACAAGTAGACTTTGGAAAACAAGTTTCATCCTTGTGCAGGGGCCATGCTAATCTTCTCTGTATCGTTCCAATTTTAGTATATGTGCTGCCGAAGTGAGCACAGGAAAACAAGTTTGGAGACACCTTCACAGACTTAACTTTTTCCCACTGCATTTCTGGGTTTCTGAAACACAGTGTTCATGGTTTGCCATGTCCTGTGCTGTGAACATCAAATTATCCTTATATTGCTTAGTCCTCACTACTCTGGATGGTGGTGGTGGTGGTGCTGGTGCCGGTGGTGGTGGTGGTGGTGGTGATTTTGCTTGCATGTGTGTATGTGTGAGTGGTGTGTGTGTGTGTGTGTGTGTGTGTGTGTGTGTGTGTGTGGTACATTCACACTTGTGTGTGATGCAAGAGGAAGATGTCCAGTGCCCTTCTCTATTGCTAACAACTTTACTCCCTTGAGATGGAGTCTCCCTCTGAAGCAGGGGCCAGGAGGGTAACCAGCAAGCTTCAGGAATCCTCCTGTCTCCGCCCCCACCCACACCCCCAGAGCGGAGGTTCTGAGCACAAGCAGCCATGCCCGGCTTATTCCAACTCGCATCCTCATGCTCAAGCAGTGAGTGCACTTACCCAAGAAGCCGCCTTCTCTCCTGCGTCCTCGGTGGTGCCTTATAATTTCGAGATGTGTATTCCTTCCAGTAGAGTAGCCAGTGGTCACAGGTCACAGGAGGCTGTTGAGCACTTGAAATGCGGCAATAGAAATTGAGACACATGCACAATAAATGTTAAATACACACTAGATTTTAAAATGTTGGTATAAAAACAATAGAACATAGACGGATGATTTTAAATTGATTCTTTAATGAAATCATTGTGTCCTTAGCATTATTGAAATATGTTATTTTTATTTTTTTTAATTTTTTTGAATGTGACTACTAGAAAAATTTAAATCACATGTATGGTGTTTGTTATGTTTCCATTAAGCAGCACTCGACTAGATGGTAGATTGTTTTTCCTTATCCTCATAAGAATGAGAAATGAGGGGAAATAGTGGGAAAAGGACTTCAGAGTCTATGAAATTTTGATACAAGGTAGAGATCAGATCAAATTATGTTTGTCCAAAGATAAGGACATACCACACTAGCACAGTGGTCCAGAGCATACCTACTAAAGTCCCAGGATGTACTCTTCTCGAAGCAACCAGAATGCGTAGGCTGGGATGAAGCTCACACCTTTAACTGTCCCAAAGAGATAGGTCGCTCTCTCATGAAGCCACTCTGTGGACTCTCAAGTGACTGCACCCAACCTGTGCAATCATGACAGACTCTTCCGCGTCACCAAAGAACGACCCTTTCATCTTGCAATGCGAATGCAATGCAGCATTAATGCCGGCAACTGAAAACCTCCAAACTAACCCCTGGTGGCTGAAGGTTTTCAGAAAGATGCCGTTTGCCTGTCAAAATACGACGGATTGCAATATCTGCCTTAGTATCTTCTCGCAATCCCATCCCATCTCTGGAAACGTGTCCATTACCATTAGGATATTCTGGGCAGCTGGGCTGGTTCACGTAAGTGGGGACAAGACTTGCCAATATGTTATCAATGTCTTGAGCCTAAAAATACATGTTTGGATGTTCAGCGGTGAAGATTTGTGTCTAATCACCCCCTTTCCACTTCCCTTTTGATGAAAATCATCAAAATGTGAGATGAAAGGATCTAATGGGTTGTCTGAATGTTTTCCCCAGCCCTGTTGGAAATGATTGAGGCATTGGCTTTTCAACATTTCCTCTGAGAAAGCAATTCCAAAGGTTGGTGTCAACTTACAGCTTAGTAATGGACTAATACACATTATCCTGTATGCAACTTGAAATTACAGCCTGCCAGCTGTGATTCTGGAAGTTTGGAATAGGTTCCTTCCCAAGATTCTAAACAGAAATGGCTTTGACTGTTGCGGGCATGAGTCTGTCTAACCCTTCGAAGGACGGCGTGAATGCAGTAACATTTCTATTGATTTTAACATTCAGCTCTCTGGAAAATAGAAAATAGCCAAAATTTGACAAGCACTTTGCAAAATGATCTGACCCTTCGGAGATGCAGAGTAAGAGCCTTGTTCTCCGGTGACATTTGTGCTTGAACTTGGAACAAACCTGCCTTGTTTCTCTCCTGTGCCTGTTTCATTTTATGGAGTAGAATTACATTTTACTGGATTTGAACTAATGCTTTAAGTGTGGTTTTATCTTTTTTAGTTTTTATTTTTATCATTTAAATATTTACACTGAAAGCTCGTAAAAGGAGATTACAAACTTCCAAGGAAGTAATTTAATGTTATATACATTCTAAAATTCCAAATTCAAAGCAGGAGGCATCCTGCACATATTTAACTGCTGGAGATAATGCCCAGGGTTGGGATGGGTGTGGAAGAGGGGCTCCCTGCATCACTGCTATGGGAAATAAGTTTGTCAGCATATTGCCCGAAAGCATCTTTGGTAACACTTACCATCATAGACATTCAGACTCCCTGTATGCCGAACAACCTGTCTGTATGAATCATCCATCCCCATATGAACTAAAACAGATGAATAAAGAACCAAGTACAAGAATGCTCTTAGCATGCTCCTTATAGCATGCATATGACATCACAAAATACTAGGAGTAGGGCACAAGCTACTTAGATGAAGACATAACTATAAAATGAAATGTCAGCTTGTGGCAGATTTTCAGGGAAAACACACAACAGATTGCTAAATAAAAAGGCTACCAAATACCTAAGAGTGTTATTTGGTATATTTTTATCAAATGTTATCTACTTGATGCATATGCCTAGAAATGACTCAAATGATTGCATCAATATTAAAGATGATTATTTCCGAATGTTAAAAAGTGTAAGAATTTTAGGGGCTAGAGAGATGGCTCAAAATTAAGGTTCATCGCTGCTTTGCAGAGGACCTGAGTTGGGTTCCCAACACCAACAAGGTGGCTCACAACTGTCTGTAACTTTAGTTCCAGAAGGTCCAGCATCCTCTCCTCACATCCAAAGGCACCAGATATACATACATGTAGGCAAAACACTCATAAAGTAAAAATAAATAAAGTCAAAGTATAAGGATTTTGATTTTTGCATTTATATCTACTCCTTGTCACTATTTGAGAAGGTATGAGACCTTTTGCTTCATGGCCAGTTTGCCTATTGGAAAACTATTTTGCAACTTTTGGTAACTCTTTAAGAATCATTCAAGTTATCTTTCTTCCTCTGGACATGGATAGATAGACAGATGCATGTAACCTTGAACTGAGACTACCATTCAAGCAAAGAGAGTGAAGGAATGATATCATGCATAAACCAACCCTCTGTCTGCCCAGACAGTCCCTCCCAAGCTCCACTGTTGACTTTTTTCTCTCATAATCATAATGACCATAAACTTAGCTTCCCTGAGAGTCCGATACTACTTGTGACCATTGCCATATCATAGTGTCTTCAATCTCCTCTTCAATCCCTACCCAGAATGGATGGGACAGTACTCTTATCCACTGAGTGACATTGAAATTGTGATCCGCATTTGGAACAGTCATATAACTAGATATTTAATATTTGACAACAGCATAAATTTTTTGTAAACACATTTCAACAAAATGCTTCATGAGCAAAGAATGCTGTCATTCAATAGTTGTACTTAATGGCTAATTTTCCAAAAGACTTTCCCCAGGCTAAGAGAGGAGAAAGGTATTCTTTTTTTTTTAATTGGCACCATGGAAGTCATGAAGATATTTCATATAAATTATATGACTCAGTGCCCTTAGGCGTTCTTTTTCAGCCTTCAAAAAACTTGTCCAGTGTTCTGCAGGGACAGTAAAGCCACACAGTGAAGGTGAGATATAATAACAGTCACAAGAGAGTAAATCTGCACACTGAAAGAGTGTCACAAAGGGAGAGAGAGCTCTCAGAGGGGGTATCCTGGTGGAGGTGGCACTTGTCATGATCTGAAGGGTGTTCTTAGGTTAACTGCAAAACTGCACATGAAGGATGATTAGTAAATACTGCTATATCAGTAAACTTACTGAATTCAGTAATTGTTCTATGGTCATGTAGTACATCCCTTTAATCAGGAAACACATAAAGTGTTAAAGAGCCTGGGAAGGGTCAGAATACAAATGACAGATATGGCGATATATTACTGAGAAGTCTGGGCCAAGGGCTTTGTTTGCAGTGTGACTATTCATTTGAAATCCTTTCCCAATAGAAATGGTTTGGTTTGTTGTTAAGGGCAGCTTTCTGATAAGAGGTGACAGAGGGTAGCTGTCCTTACCTTCTGAGGACAGGGCCAATGCCAGCTTCTTTTTCATTCCCCTCGTGTGGTCCATTGCAGCTATTTGTTGACTTCAGTAAACCACCACATAATTTCACACAAGCCAGGATGGAGGGCAGTGGCGGCGTCTGCTACAGACCCATGTCCTGAAATAGCAGGAGGCTGTGTTGTGGTGTGGGGAGGAAACCTGGGCTGGCCAGCCACACTGAGTCTTGTGGGTTCAGCACTTTGCTATCAGCCCCTGCCTTGTGGGATACACAACCAGTGCAGGGACAGAGAGCTGAGAGGCTTCTCAACAAAGCCTTCTCCCCAGGAAAGCACACGTGTGTCTTTGAACACTGTGCTGGTGGACGTTGAGTTATTCTGCCATTATTGCTGTGATGCATTGCATCTCCATCTAGATGATGCTGAGTCTGCATTCCTATGGTCCAGATAACCTCCTCTTGCACTCTCACAAGGTAGCTCAGACCCACACTTTTAAAAGATGCTGTTCAAATAACATGTTTTCCAAAGCTGTGCATATTCAAGCTCCCTGAGCAATGTCAGAACTCTGGTGTGAATGCAGCCAAAGAAATCACCCTGCATCTGAGCCTGTGGAGCCAGGACATTCCAAATGCTACAGTCTGACTGTGGTGGGCTAGGAACTATCATTAGCCTGTTCTCCTTACCATGTCTACTGTTGCCTGGTGCCGTATGGAGTATGCTGATGTCCTATCCTAAAATCCTGGACAATAGCACACAGCGTTGCAGACTTCAGAGTTGGACCCATCAGGCTCTCACAGCAAGACCCTCCCCCATGCTGAACATCTATATGG